GACATGCAGTGTGTAAGACATCCAGTGTGTACATGCTCTCCCCACCCCTTTTCCTCATCTCCCCACCCCTTTTCCTCATCTCCCCACCCCTTTTCCTCATCTCCCCTCCCTTCTCCTGCTCTCCCTGCCCTTCTTTCTTCCTACCTCCCCTGCCTTTTTTGCTCCCTCTGACTTCTCCAGGGCTGGATGCTGCTGCATCAGAAGCAATTCTTGTTCTCCTGGAAAAGCGCACAGTAAGACCAGTCAGTTGGTAAGGATTTTTTTCCTTTCCCACCCCTTCCCAAATAATTTATTTCTTCTCAAGTTCTGCAGATCCTGTTTTCCATGGTTAAATTTCATCTTTGTAGAAATATCTGGGAATGTCTATAAGGAGGAAAGAGTGTAAGTTTTCTTGGAAGCTAGCTGCTTTTTTTTTTTTTTCTCTCAGGTTCTCATTCCTACTATCAGTCCCTCCGCTTTCCCCTTGTTTTAACCTGTTTATCAGAGTGCAGTTAATAACCTTTATTCTCAGCACAAGCCTGGGAGTTATATTTGTGATCTGTGGCAGAAATTGTCTCTGCCTTCCCAGGGGTCTCATTGAGTTCAGACCTGGATTTGCATTTAACTAGTTAACTGCCCATGCTGAAGAGAATAAAAGTAAATTTGCTTGAAATCTACACAGTGTTTCCAGTTTCCTATCTCAGCCTTAGAGGAGCTGTTTTCTCTGTGTCTCCAGTGTTTTGTCTTGGGCTTCGCAGCTGGTTTACTTGTTTTCTTTGCTGCTGGGGATTGAATAATACACATATGAGAGAGTGTTGACAGTCTGGAGCAGAAGGAGAATAAAGAGGCAATTGTCATCCTAAGGAAGTGAGGTAGTCACTTTGTGCTTCTGGAGATGAAAATCTCCTGTAGCAGTCCAGGTGTCTGCCCTGGGAATGACACTGCAAAAATAGAGAGACGTGCTCAGCTGGAGGAGAGAGAAGTTTAATGTGGCAGAGATGCAAGAAAGGGCAGTCTAGTTAGGGGAGTCCTAGAAAGGAGTTTTCCTTTCAAAATAGTTATGCTTTATGCTTGTATCATGGAATACTGCAGCGAAGTGTCTGCTTTTATTTATATGTAACTTCTTTGGTACAGTAATAGATTTTTTTAATTTTTAGGCACTGTGGGTGAAGAAGGACATTAAATAGTAAAGGAGCGACTTGATCTCCTTTCTTTTTTCCCTTCCAACAGGTTTGAATCTGAAGAAGTGGTCTATAAATAACTGAATTTACCTCATTGTAAACCATAAGACTGAAACCTAAAGGGGTTGCTTTGGTGCTGACTTTCTGCAGGTTGTAGAGGTTATGTTGGAAGGCAGGGATGGAAGAGGGATCATTTCTGCAGGCTGTTGTAGCCAAAACATCCCTTGAAGGGAATGAGAGCAGTGGCTGCAATATCAGGGTGCTTTGATATGGTTCACTCAACCTTCTTCTCCTTTTTTTTTTTCCTTAATAAAAAGTGCAGTCCTATTTGTAAGAGCTCTGCTCCCTTTTTCTCAGCTCCAGCTATCTTGACAGTTTCAGAGGGATGAACAGAGAGGCACAGTAAGTGCCCGAGGGCTTTTTGGGACTTCTTTATATTTTAGAATGTTTTGTTCTGGATCTGAGTGTTGTCAGCAGCTCCTTTATAATCCGTTTCTCTGAAGGATTAGCCAGGTGATGCTGTCAGGTCTGGCTTCCACGAGGGTCTGAAAAGGTTTAGTATAACAGGGCTGGGCAGGCAGAGGGAGCAGATGGAGCCACAGCCTGGGCACACCCAGGTGGGA